TGGAGATTATGATTTGTATGAAACACCTATTTCAAAACAGTAATTACTGCCTTAAATTTCACATTCAGCATTTTGGTTGCTCTCCCCCCGCAACGAGCAGTTTGTTCTCTGTTTAAACCCATTGCCTTCTTTACCCTAAAGCAACCCTCCCCCTGTTTTGCAGCTTTAGTGCTAACAGTGTTGCTTAACCATAACTCTTGGCTTCTCTCCAAACATTTTTTTTTTTACAAAATGTCCTTGACTGTAATATGCCATAATTTTTTTTAGTTTCAGTGTTCTTTGTAAGATTTCTTATATTTCATCTTACACTTGATTTTTTTTACCCCCTAAGCCTCTCACTAGATAAACTGCTTCCAAACTTATTTTTCTCTTGGGGCTCACTTCTACAAAAGCTATCCACAGTTAGTCTAGTTGGAAGGCCAAAGTGAAGAGGATATTAGATGTATGTGTGTGTGTTTAAATTCCTGTTCTCCAAATAATTCTAATTGAAGCTAGGCCACTTTCCCACCAACACATTCGAAAGGAGGATTCTAGCACTATCCAAAAATGCCAGAGTCACTTCTGTGTATCAGTCATTCAGGTAACTTTATAATAACAATAATACCCATTCATACCAGGCCCATTTTTAATTGTTTTCTTTAGTTAAGTATGGTGTTACCATTGAAAGCACAGCTAATAATAATTTATAAATCTTTCAAATATATGACATGTAAAACTTGAAGCATGCAGGAAATTAGAAATTTCTTTTACAAGGACATGTTAGGAAGTGGGATTGTATTATGATGATCCAAATGAAAGATTATTGAAGTGAATCAAAATTTATACTCTTTCTGCTGTTATATTCTGAAACAGCGTATTTAGTGTTTTCTAATTGTGAACTTAACCCAGTTTGTAAAATCGTTCTTGATACTTATTAACAGACCACATCTACTTTGTACATATACTTTAGACTCTGTACCAGTCATTGTGCTTCTGTTTGTACATATGTAATGTATAATCTTTTAACAGCTCTGCGAGGTAGAGAGATGTCCCCAGGAACAAGAGTTAGGACACTTGCCTGAGGTTGCATAGCTGGCGAGCAGCGGAGCCAGTCTTCACACCTAGAGCCACCCAACTCCTAAGCCAGTGCTCTCCCTCCCGTGCCACCCCACCTTCTGAGGTGGCACAGGCAGGCACACCTTGTTTTGTGGTGCTTCACGGGTGTTATGGTTCTTTCCAAATCGAAAGCAAGACCCTCCACCAGCACAAAGATTACAACTCTCTTTATTGCAATACCTGCTCTGTTGTGGTCTAGAATCTGACCCTCCGTATCTCCAAGGTATGCCTAATGGAACACTATCATTTGGTTAGCAGTTCAAAACTAAGGGTAGGAACACAACCTACTCTGGAGTAGAGTATGCTTCTCACATAATGGAAAATAAAATGTATTATCTTACCACTTCTAGGTAAGAAAAGTTACTAAGAAATATCATGAAAATTTCTTTACTTCCTGACTCCCTGAACAAACAAGTTGAAATGAAGGCAGTTGCAGGGGTAGAAGAGTTAGGGGTCATAATATAAGACAGTGTTAAATGTTATTATTAAAAGGCAGTAAATGAAGCACGTTTCTCAATGTGTTTAGAATAACGGTAGGAGTTATGCATGTTTACACTATAGCAAAATGCACTTTCATTGGGGAATAATTTAATCGATCCATGATGTGTCATTTCCCAAGATAAAGTTTTCCCTTTTGTTTGAGCATAGAATGAAGAGTGATCCATAAAACAGACACACACACACAACAACATGTAACTTAGAATCACATTAAGAAGATCATCGTTTTATGTTCTTTCCCTGTAATATTTCTCATTTGCCTTGTATATTCAACTCAAAGGGCGTAAGAGTGTTGTTCTTTCTGAATGAGGGAAGCTTTAAAACTCTCTGCAGACAGTTAATTTGATAAACTTCAGTGTTCAGTTATTGCATTTATTTTTTGTGCACTTTTTTCTCCTTCTTTTGCTTTTTGTGTCTGCCCCCCCCAAGGAAATTACCATTTCACTGATTTTAAGGTATAAAATGGATAAATCTAGGAACATAATCTATGCCTCTCCTATCTAAGGGCTCTTTCTATAACACAAGCCTGAACATACTGCTCTCCCATGTAAAACCTTTCAGCGATTCCGAGTATGTGGGATTCTGAGTATGCGGGACTCTTGGTTAATTTGACAGAAACTAATGGGACCATTGAAGAATTTCAAACAGCCGTATTTGGATTCTTCTGACACGCAAACAGGAGCACATTTGCGTGTTAGGAGAATCACTGTGACAGTAGGTTGTGTAAGATGAGGGAGAGCCAGTCCAAACAGACTGAGGAGCTAGTCTGGATCTTAGTCTTCAGTGTGTAGAGATGCCCCTTTTCATTGATCTAACTGGACTCCAAGCTCTTTACTCACTAGGCTGGTAGTAGGTTTAAAGGAAGCTACATGAAAATTGAGTTTTGGCTGATAGAGTGGGCTGGTCCTCCATTCTCCAGCTTACTACCTTCTTACCGTCCCCCACCCCACCAAGCTTAGGGGTGCCACAGATTGGAGAGTAGTGTCCCGTACATGGTTGCACATGTTAGGTGGTAGGAATTGGAGACGGGCCATGTGAGTGTTCATTAACTGCCTCCTTCTCCATCTTCCCCTCTGAGCCCCTCTGTCTGGTGTGAGGAGGGAAGCGAGTGTCAGCAGAGGCCAGACCCTAGTGAGACCAGAGTGGCCCCGAGTTGTGGTTGCTCTGGTTTTCCAAACCTCTGCTTGCCTGCCGAAAAATACCCAAAGCTGAGAGGGCACGTCCTGGCACACATTGCCTCTACCACAGGCCCTTGGTCCCTGGGCAGGCCCTGTTCTCCCAGGCCTGCCTTCCCTCTGGCTGTGTACCCACGTGCCAGGGCAGACTGAGCAGGGGCCTGTGCCACTGGAGACTGAGGCTCCCCGGTCGCTGATTCTTGGGCATCTGAAGTCCTTCCTGCCCCAGCTCTCTATTCCAAAGTCCTGAGTTCTGAATCATGGCTGCCAGATCTTGCATGCTCTCCAGTTTTCAGGAGGGCCCTGCTAGTCCCCATCCAGAAGCCTCAGACACTCAGCTGCAGAGCTGGAGTGGGGTTTGCTCAGAGGACATGACTGGCCTCCAAGTCTGGGCCCCTCAGACGTTTTGTGAGGTGCCACGAGTACCTGCCATTACTGCAACATCTGCGAGTCACCACATTTGTCACATGAGGGGTTTATAACCTCTCCCCCAGACCTCCTCACTAGCATTTCCATCTTCTGGAAAAATCCACAGCCCCACTGCCCACCCCAGCATGTCGCTGTGGCAGGCACATCTAAGCTCGGGAAGCAGGGCTGTCCTGTGACTCCGCACTAGCAGCACTGGCCTCGCTTTCCTCTTCCTATTTGACTTCCTCTGTCTGACGCCCCCACCCCCTTTTCCCCTTTGGTTTTTGAGCAATTCAGAGTTTAAGATAACTTTCTTTGCCTCTCCCTTTCTAGGTATTTGCATAGGAGTCAGAGGAGTTAATCTTGTGAGTAAACATTTAACATCTGCTCCTTCCCTTCCTTCTCTAGCTGCACCACTCCCCCCCCCCCCCCCCCACTCACCCCACACCCTCCAGGGCCCTAAAGCAGAGGCCGAGCACCAGCGTCTCTGCAGACTCCACACTCCTCCCCGCAGCGGGGTTGGTGGCGGAGTGGGGTGGGGGTGCTTCTTTGAAACGCAGTCTGGCTCCAGCCATGGCGACTGCAGCTAGTCTACAGCACAGGTGTGTACTAGCCTAAGAGCCTTAGCACCTGTTTAAGGCACCAGCCAGTCTGCATCTCCACAACTTGAAGTATGCAGGAAGTATCCTCTTTTTTTAGTCCCCACAACTACCTTAATTCACACTCTAGCCCCATTTGGCCACCCTTGAGGGAAATTTCATTGCAGTCATTTTTAGGTGTCTTCCCCTCCCTCATGGGTTATGTCCTAAAACCCAGAGATTTCCACGATACCTGGTATATGAGGGACTTGCCTCTGGCCCTTGGCATTTTCACAGCCGTGGTCTCTTGACGCCTCAGGGCCACCAATGGAAGCTGGGAATCCCTTGCTCAGGTCTGGCCTCCCGGAATGCACCCCATGCATGCCCTCCTGAGGCCTCTGTGCTGCCCCGGGAACCAGCACTGTGCAAGAGACCCGTTTGGGGGCTGACAGGTCTCCTTCTCCTTTCCACACCAGGGGCAGGGCGGAGGGGAAAGTGTCTTTTTCTCACTCCCTTCCCCACTCTCTCCTTCTCCCACCCTAGAAGTTGGGCAGAATCTCCTCACTGGGTTTAGATGTGAAAGACAGACTGCTTCTCCCATCACCCTGCGACCTATTTTAAGTGGGCTAGAAAGGAAAACTGTTGGAAGGCCGAAGGAAAGCTCCAGAGTTGTCCTTCCATACTGGTTTGGAGGCTGGCATGAAGATAAAACATCCCCCAGACCATGGTAACTGTAGACATTAGGAGAAGGAAAGAGATTTGAGATACTATAAGCTTGCAGATCTTGCAGCTTAGCTTAGTCAGAGAGAAAAATCTAGCATGACCCCAGACGTTCTGACTTTGGAGAGGTTAGGAAGTGACACGCGGTGAAGAGACTGATCTGTTACTAATGTGGACTCACAAATCACACACCCTGGATGTAACATCCGGCTCAGCTGGTGTGAGCATGGGCAGATTAGTGTAACTTCTGAGCCTCAGTTTCCCCCCAAGTAAAATGAGCTTAATACCTCCTATTCACACGGTGTTGAGGGCATTGAGTATAAAGTGATTAAAACGATAGTCATCACTTTGTGAGCATCCAGTAAATGTCAGCTGTTATTACATAGCTGGTGCCAGTGGCTAAACTCTAATTCTGGAAGAGGAGCCCGGAGTCTGGACTGAGCTGAGCTGTGTGGAGCCCCTGCTTTAGAACAGGGACCTTCACAAGGCACTGCGAGACACCAAGGCAAGAGGTAGGTAGGTGGATTTGTCTGGAATTTTAACGTTTAGGGTTAAAGGTAAATATTTGGGAGACCTGTGATCCCAAGGAATAGTTGACACTGAGTTATGAACAAAGTCCCCCAGGGATTGTGAGAAAAGGTAAAGAGCCAGGCGCCAGGCCCACAAATCATTCAAATTTCCAGTGACCCTTTGCAACGTGCTCCTCTGTGTTGTACGAGTATGAATGTCCCCCTTAGGGTCTTCACTGCAGAGGTATAATCTGATTGTTCACTGTGGTCCACCTCCGTGAGATAAGGTTTAGTTGTCCATGATCTGCCATATTGGATGGGCTCCTTTCCATTTGGAATTACGGACTTCGGGAAATAAAATTAAAAACCTTAGTTGAGAGGCTTTTCAAAAACAAACCTTGTACATCTTCAGCCTAGAGGAGTCTTTCACTGAAAACTAAGGCAGAATTCCCAGTGTTTGGGGCTGCCCAGTTGCTTCCCACTCAGACCATTAGAAACAAAGTCAGTCTGAAGAATATACGTAGCAAAATCAAGGGTAGCTAGAAGTGAATGAGCTGAAACTGGAGGGAAATCCCTTTGTTCAATTTGGTTTCATTGAATGCTCAGCAGGTGGCTAAACCAGTTCATTAATAGAAAAAAAGACATGTTCTTAAATGCTGCTCTCAGAAGCAAGTGCCTAGAAGAGCATATTGTGATGACCAAAACTGCATTGTAGAAATCATACGCTCTAGACTCATGAAACTTTAGTTTGTGTCATCAGCGAAGACACATATCATTTACCCCCAAATATTTTCCCATTTATGTGTAACAATGGACTGGAATTGATCTGTCTGCCATGTGCCACTCCCCGCTCCTAGAAAAATGTGATTTTTCTCTCACTGCTCTGGAGCTCAGAAACATCTGTATTTAGGAATGTTGGATGTTATAGGACCATTTTTGGCCATGTACTTTTTTTTTATGTAATTGACATATTAAAACCTTTCCTGTGGTTTTGAAATCTAAGTTCAGACCTGAAATGCAGTCTGCAAGTAGCATCCTGTCAAACTTAGATGTGTTCTTTTTCTGAACTGTCTCTCCTCTGCCGTATTAAATTGTCCTCTACTGCACAGGATTATCCCCCAGGGCCGTGCGTGCTTTCAGGTTCTCTGTGGCATTGTTAACTATTTAAGCATTAGACCGGTGCAGAGATGGCAGGTGGGAAAGGCCAGGGACTTGATCTCCTCCCGGCCAGGGTTCTCCTCTTTCACTAGTGCTGCTTACATTGAACAGCTTAAGAATAAGCTCCTGTGTGAGCCCTCGGAGGCCAAGGAGTATTGTTGAATTCAGAAAGGAATCTCTTTCTTTTAGTGATAATTTGAATATTTTGACAATGGAGCTAAGCTACTCCACTGCCTGGTTTGCGTACCGCGTGTCATGTGCATGCTTTCTAGTGGGGCAGAAGAGAGCCTCCGCCTCTGAGTTCCTACGTTGGCATTGTCTGTTGGTGAGATGGGTAGGGAGCAAAGGAAGAATCATCCAGGAGAATTTCACTCTCTTGCTTTAATGTTTTCCAAAGCCTTTAAAAAGGAATTAATCCAGGCCTTTGGAGACCATGATAAATGTGGAGTATTTCGAGAAGAGAGATGGACCATGAAGATGATTTGTGAAGTGTTTATACATGCAAAGTGAGGAATACATTTAAAACAAATTCTCTGGATGATTCAGACAAAGAACCTACTCACCTCCAGTTTTTTCCTGAATTCAAGACAGGTTATTTTAAAGATTTAGTTGTCTAAAATGGCCCTGATTTTTCCATTTTTAACTTAAAATGATGTTCTTATCCAAAATAAACAGATATAGCTTTTTTTGATCAAATTAAGAAAAGAGGCAACCAAGTGAAAAAATTACTTAGGTGAGCTATAATTGGCTTTATTTCTTAATATATTTATCTTTGTACTGGCTAAGAAAACCTTGAAAAGCTTTTCACCTAAAAGGATCAACTGGTTGGAATAGTCTTAGTTGGAAGAAGCCAAGCTTTAAAATTAATTGGTGAACAGAGATGCTGGTTTCTGAATGCTCCCCAGGGATCTGTAGTGCAAAGCCGGCTGCAGACTTGGCCCCAGAGCCTTGGTAAAAACATAAACCTCAGGTCCCCAGCGATGCCACGTCAGCCTGTGCCAGAGATTGCCCTGGCATTCTAACGCCTGGCCAGGTTTAGTAAACCACTGGATGGTCTGTTCAACTGGGAGCCTTCAGCCTTTCCACCCTGCACATTTGCTAAATCTGTACATTTATACAAAGCTGTTGTTGAATATGAATGCCTACTAGTTTTACTGACGTTTTCAATTCATAATTTGTTTCAGGTTTGTTATTGCCTGGATTTGCATACCTGTTTTATGGTATTCTAATACTGTTGATTTTTTAAAAATACTGTTTCCTCTGACTGCTATTTTGAATATTTTATGTAAGCAATTGCATGGGTTTTTTTTTCTTTCTACTTGCAGAAAGCAGGGGAAAATTTCAGGGTTTTTCTAATCTAGTTGCAAGTAGGACAAAGGATATAATAGAAATACTTAAAGGTCGTCTTGGGCAAGATTATAAGAAATACTGAAAATCTTCTAAGTTACAACATTACGAACTTTATGACACCTTTTAAGTATAGCAGATGATCCACATGTTTTAAGACTCTTACCATTTGGTATTTCTGAGATATTTTAAAATTAAGGGTGGTAGGCCTATTGAGGTATTATACTACAGGGTTTTGAAGTTTAAAACTGATCTCCCGCTTAGTGAAATGCATGGAAGAGTAGTAGAAAATCTCTCTGCACGATATCAGTTGAGTGTAGGCTCTTGAGGTGAAGCTCCAGTTGCAGCATGGGGGGTGGGGGGGGGGATGTTTTTCTAGCTTCACTCACTGAAGACGTGCAAGATCTCTTCTTACAGGTTTGAATCCTCAACCAGACACCTGCGAGGACCCCGTGACCACCTGAACACTGACGTTTCCCGTCACCCAGTAGGTATGCAAGCGGTGGTCGCTGTTTGAAATTGTTTCTGGCACAATAACTGTTTGGACACACAATAGAATAAGTCAAGGATGTGCAGGAGGTTCAAAGTACTTCAAAAAGGTTCTAGGAGAGAATAAAAGTACATTTCCCCCTCACACTGCAAAAATAGCTTACAATAGAATTTTTAATCTTTTCTTTTTTAAAAAAGCATTCCTACACCTTGCATTTTTCAGGGACTCAGAGGATGCGATTAGCAACTTTTCATATCCTCTGCTGTTCCCCCTCCACGGCCCCCATAGTATCTGCAGATCTATGGAATTTTCTGCTCACAGCCCTGTCAGTGCAGAAGCTTTAATGCTGCCTTGACTCCACTCCTAACTTGTGTACATAAGAGGACGTGTAAAGGTTACCCTCCCCTTTGTGGAAGATGTTGACTGATAAGCCTGAAGAAGATTCTGGTCACATACCGATAGCACTAGGGAATCCAGCTACAGACTCTGAAGCTTTATTTGGAAACACCATAGTGGAAGCTACTGCTGAAGTCCGCTGTCCATGCGGGCACCTCAGCCTGGGGGTGGCCAGGTGCAAGTGGAGAGAGCGCAGCTTAGCTCGGAACACCTGGGTTTGGCCTCCGGTCACTATCGTGGTCATCAGTAATGATGATAATGGAAGTGAACACTTTGGGGCCACTCACCATGCACCAGATGCTTTGCTTAGTACAGTTCATTATTCTCAGTATCATATTCCTCAGTGCCTGTGAGTAGAGAACGTAAGTTTCTGGACCTCAGTTTCCTCATCTGTCAGAGAGAAGTGAAAATGCTTGTCTGCCTCTCTCAAAGGGCTGGCAGATGGAAATTAGGAGACAAAATAGTATGAGAGGGCTTTTATGAGTTAAAGGAAATATATTATTGTTTTACTAAATACTACTTTGAATCTCTTTCAAATATAATGTTCTTACTAAATTATATTTGGATTTATCAGCTAAGAGATTGAAGTTCATCCCAATCTGCTCGTATATCTGCTAGCAACCGAGAAAGGCACTAGCAGTTCTGATTAGGTGAAGCAGGGGTGGTCTTGCCATTGTATCTTCCGTTTACCACGTGAGTGGCATTAGAAGCCTGGGCATGATAACTAGTAAGATCCTGAACTGCGTCTGCCCAGTAGTTGGTGGTGAGTCCCTGGGCTGAAGACAGGGGGTGGCTAGCACACTAGGCAGTAGACACAGGAACAGAGTGGGACAAGCCCAGGCAGGAGGGCCAGTACAGTCGCTAGGTGAGCAGGAAAGGAGCTCAGCTTGAGACATCGCTATAGGCTACTGGGAAGGAGCAGCAAGCATGCGGCAGCGGGAAATTGGGGCTTATTGTAAGCAAGGTGCCCGGCCTCTGGGGCGACTGGAGCACAGACCAGCACATTGAAGCCGCCTGCGGATGGGCTGTGGTATGGACCACACATGTGGATTGTGAGGACAGCTACTTAGAGAGTGTGCATTCCTCCCCATTGAACTGGGTATAATTGCAATGGTTTGTTAAACAAACAAAGGACCCAAAGCTGTGAATGGGGGAGAGAAAAGACTTAAGGTGAAAAGGAGAGGCGGCCCTGCTTGCTAATGTTCCACTCCTTTTAAGCTTTCTCCCCCATTTCCTTGACATTCCTTTCTCCCTTTCAGAGAAGCCAGTGCAGGGGCTTGAAAAAGTTGCCTTGTCTCTCTCATGTCACTTCCTTTTGAGATGGAAACCTGATGAAATGTTTATCATCTTCAAAAGAAAAAAAATGAAACCCTGGGGTCATCCTAAATGATAAATATTTATATTTATATCCTGAGTATAAATCTTTGTATATTTCAAATTAAGTATTTCTGGATGAGCGATTTGCTTTGTATCATTTAAACTTGCGGAGGTGACATGGGAAGGCAGAGAGAAAATTTGCACGGAAGCGTCCTGTAGTACAGTGTCTCATAAATAAGGCACACGGTCTCTGAGCTGCGCTTCTGCAGGAGGGGACTGGGCCTGGGACCCGGGCAGCAATTCCACTTTCCTTTCTTAACTGGACACAGTCTCTAGTAAAGTGAGTTCTGGATGCTCATCCATTGCAAATGCTTGAAAAACAATAGTGCTGAGTTGTCCTTTAAAACTGCCAATTACATTTGTGTCCATTTGGGTAATCAGATTTGGTCTCAGGCTCATCTTGTGTCAAAAAGACCATTTAGTGTTTCAGAGCAGTACTTTTAAGTCGGCCGTGCCCTGGGGTAATGAAGCTATCCATGGGGGACGAGGGATAAGTGATTACTTGGAACTGCTTTCTTGTGTACAGCAATCTGTTGATGAAATGTCCTCACTTTCACTGCCTCCCAGTTCCCCATAGGATAGCCCCAGATCCTCTCCTGGTGTGTGGGACCCTTTGTGCTCAGGGCGCGGCCCCCACCCCAGGCCCCCTGTACTCGCACCTGCACTCCAACCAGGAACCCCTGTCCCTGCTGCCCTCTGCTGCTTCCTGCCTCTGAGCTTTCCCGTGTTCTTCCGTCTGCAGAAAATACACTGCCTTCCTGTGGTCCACCTGGCACACTCCTAGACTCAGCCCAGGGACTCATCATCAAAACTTAGAAAGTACAGATATTCAAAAAGGAAAAATAAAGAAAAGTTATCTCTTACTCCACGCCCCCCCCACCCAGAGATACTTTGTTGACCGCATTGTTATCTGTACTTTAAACCTTTTTCTGTTTATTTAGAGATGTTGTTTTAGAATTGCACAGTCCACCCAAGTCTTGAGCATCCCTTCCAGATCTTTCATAATTTTTAAGTTTCCGTCGAGAGATGTTTGACTCATGAATCTGGCTTCCTGTCCCCAGTGTGACTAGTCTGCTTTTCTTGTTTCTTTTCTCAGTTGAGCCTTTACCCTCACACACTTCCTGGGAAGGACCCAGGCTTTTCTTTTCCCTGGAATGGTAACCGTATTAGGACAATGGGCCCTGCCGCTAATTAGGTAGTTTTGGTTCCTCCGTGCCCTACTCTTAAAGTCCCAGGAAAAGAGATCAGGGCTGTCAGCTATAGAAGCCTACCCTAAAAAGGGCCTAAAGGATTTGTTGGGAGGGAGGAGGGGGATCTATTTTCAGCTGTCACAAAGGAATAGTCCCCATCACTGACTTTAATGACTAGAAAATCTTCTCTTAATACCAAAGGCTCTTGTCTGGATTTCAGGACGGCTCTCTGCCCCTCACCCCCACTGTGCTACCTAGAGTTCATTAATAGTCTCCTTACAGCAAGGTCCGCTCCATTTCCGCAGCAGAACCAATCCTGGACCTCACACATGCCTCTCTGGGTGCACATACCTCTTTTGCTTGTTTGTAGACACTTGATATTTCTTCCTAAATGTTTATATTTAAAAATACAGTGCATGTGATAGGGAGAGGAGGCCGGCGGAAGATTTAAGAACCTGTGAAGATGCATCCTGCCCTCCTTTCTGCCGGGTGGGGATTCATGTGGACCGACCCACCCTGTAGTGCTTTGGCCCTGTCTGGGGACTGCCCAGCGGTGCAGAGCCCCTGCTCCCGCTAAATGCAGGCAAGGGAAGGGACCTGGGTGCTCTTTAAGAGAAAGCACCCTCGTGGGGACAGATCCTGGCTCAGGCATCCTTTCCCTTTGGGAGTGTAGCTTCTCTCAGTCTTCTGTGACTCTGTGAGGCTCGCATTCCTGGGCCTCTGTCTTTTCCATTGCTTCCTCGTGCTTCCCCACCCACCATCCCCCAATCCCAGCTGAGATAGCTCTGTGGGCATCCTCTACCTGCTTCTCCCTCTTCTCCCCCACCTTCCTCCCCTCTCCTCTTTGTAGACTGGAGTGGCCAGCCTCAACTATTAAAAAGGTTAGGTCTTATCTTCAGTTCACTGAATATATTATAGCAAAGACAGGCTCCCGCCTGTAAAGAGCCTACCTTCTTTTAATCGAGTGGGTGATCGAGCAGGGATTTTGAGCTATTAGGGTCTTGTTTTATACAATCACCAGTTAGAATTATTTTGTGGCATCTTACCACTTTTTTTTAGTGCAAACTTAATTCTCATTTTGCTTATTTTTATCACCATGGACTTGTCACTACACTGTCTTCCCCAAGAGGAACTGGGGGAATTTAGAGACAGAAGACTTCTTCTGTCCTTGGTGCCCCTGAGAATGGCATGTCCCCGCAAGCCTGCTGCCGCCCTGTTCCACAGTACAGAATAGATATCCCAAGGGAAGCTCCTACTAGCTGCAGCCTGCCAACTGCCGCCTGCCATGAAAAAACCAAATTCCTCCCCCCACCTTCCTGGGACAAGCCACTTTACCACACCAGTCTGGGTTGATCGTATGAGCTTCCCAACAGGATTGGAGGCCACCCATGTAGAGCTCAGTAATTTATAAAGTCACTTACAGAAGCAAGAGTCACAATGGCATCTACTTCCCTGAAGCCAAAGAGCCTAAGCATCTCTGCTCTGTTCGGCGTGAAGAGCGCCTCAGCCCCTCTTTCACGCCATGGGTTCCCTTGCTGAACACCCTTTAGCACCGTTAAACTCGGCATATCCCAGACAGAACTCGGAACCCCAGTAAGTTCCGGGCGGAACTTTGCTCCATTTGTCTTTGGGGACTCGTCCTTCCTTTCCCTGTCTGCCACCCCTGCCACCTCTTTTCCCTAACCTAGCCTAAGTTCTAATCTAACTACTCTTGTTAACTGTCATTTCAGCCTGCCCGCTCTTCCTTTTCAGGCAACTGTTATCTCTCCTGAAAAAGGGCAGAAGCCGAAATGGTCTCACCACCCCTGGTCCCACCTCTCTCCAGCATGTCTTACACATCCCCGCCGTAATTATCGATCAGAAGTATAATCGGACAAGTCTGTTGCTTATAATGGGTTCCTGCTGCCTGGCTCCCCGGTCCTCAGACTGGGGTTGTGCTTGCCCTTGTGCTTTGGCTCCTCTCAGTCTTCTGTGGTTCTCTGAGGCATCGATGTCCGTGCTCACGCCTTTCCCGTTGCTTCTCATTCCCTTGAC